TGGTTTTGGGATGCGGTGGGGGGAGGGGAGATTTTGAATCTTGTGAAGTCCACATTGATACCATTGGGCTGCAGGGTTCCCAAGCGGAATATGAGTTGCTGTTCCTGCAAACTTCGGGTGGCATCGTTGTGGCACTGCAGGAGGCCCAGGATGGACATGTCGTCTGAAGAATGGGAGGGGGAGTTGAACTGGTTCGCGACTGGGAGGTGCAGTTGTTTAGTGCGAACTGAGTGTAGGTGTTCTGCAAAGCAGTCCCCAAGCCTCCGCTTGGTTTCCCCGATGTAGAGGAGGCCACAACGGGAACAGCGGATGCAGTATACCACATTATCAGATGTGCAGGTGAACATCTGCTTGATGTGGAAAGTCTTCTTGGGGCCTGGGATGGGGGTGAGGGAGGAGGTGTAAGGGCAGGTGTAGCACTTCCTGCAGTTGCAGGGAAAAGTGCCAGGTGTGGTGGGGCTGGAGGGGAGTGTGGAGCGGACAAGGGAGTCTCGGAGAGAGTGGTCCCTCTGGAAAGCAGAGGGAAAATGTCTTTGGTGGGGTCGGATTGCAGATGGCGGAAGTGTCGGAGGATGATGCGTTGGATCCGGAGGTTGGTGGGGTGGTACGTGAGGACGAGGGGGATTCTGCTTTGGTTATTATTGCGTGGACGGGGTGTGAGGGATGAGTTGTGGGAAATGTGGGAGGCACGGTCGAGGGCGTTCTCGACCACTGGGGGGCGGGATGTTGCGGTCCTTGAAAAACGAGGACATCTGAGATGTACGGGAGTGGAATGCCTCGTCCTGGGAGCAGATACGGCGGAGGTGAAGGAATTGGGAATAGGGGATGGCATTTTTGCAGGAAGGTGGGTGGGAGGAGGTGTATTCTAGGTAGCTGTGGGAGTCAGTGGGCTTGAAATGGATATTGGTTTCTAGGTGGTTGCCAGAGATGGAAACAGAGAGGTCCAGGAAGGAGAGAGAGGTATCAGAGATGGTCCAGGTGAACTTAAGGTTGGGGTGGAAGGTGTTGGTGAAGTGGATGAACTGTTTGAGCTCCTCGTGAGAGCACGAGGCGGCGCCGATACAGTCATCAATGTAACGGAGGAAGAGGTGGGGTTAGGGCCAGTGTAGCTACGGAAGAGGGATTATTCCACGTATCCTACAAAGAGGCATGCATAGCTTGGGCCCATGCGGGTACCCAGGCCCACCTCCTTTGTCTGTAGGAAGTGGGAGGAATTGAAAGAGAAGTTGTTGAGGGTGAGGACGAGTTCGGCTAAGCGGATGAGGGTGTCAGTGGAGGGGGACTGGTCGGGCCTGCGGGATAGGAAGAAGCGGAGGGTCTTTAGGCCATCTGTATGGGGAATGCAGGTGTAGAGGGACTGGACGTCCATGGTAAAGATGAGGTGTTGGGGACCGGGGAATTGGAAGTTCTGGAGGAGGTGGAGGGCGTAGGTGGTATCACGGACATAGGTAGGGAGTTCCTGGACCAAGGGGGAGAAAATGGAGTCGAGATAGGTGGAGATAAGTTCGGTGGGGCAGGAGCAGGCAGAGACAATGGGTCGACCAGGGCAGTCAGGTTTGTGGATTTTGGGAAGAAGATAGAAGCGGGCGGTGCGTGGTTGGGGAACGATGAGGTTGGAGGCTGTTGGTGGGAGGTCACCTGAGGTGATGAGGTTGTGGATGGTTTGGGAGATGATGGTTTGGTGGTCGGGGGTGGGGTCATGATCAAGGGGGCGGTAGGTGGAGGTGTCGGAGAGTTGGCGCCTGGCTCGGTGATGTAGAGGTCAGTGCTCCATACTACAACTGCGCCTCCCTTGTCCGCGGGTTTTGTGGTGAGGTTGGGATTGGAGCGGAGGGAGCGGACGGAGCATCTCCAACTGCCATCGAGACATCAATCGCCTCAACCTCTCCACCCCTCTCACCCACTCCAACCTCTCCCCTGCAGAATGTGCAGCCCTCGTCTCCCTCCGCTCCAATCCCAACCTCACCATAAAACCCGCGGACAAGGGAGGCGCAGTTGTCGTATGACGCACTGACCTCTACATCACCGAGGCCAGGCGCCAACTCTCCGACACCTCCTCCTACCGCCCCCTTGATCATGACCCCACCCCCGACCACCAAACCATCATCTCCCAAACCATCCACAACCTCATCACCTCAGGTGACCTCCCACCAATAGCCTCCAACCTCATCGTTCCCCAACCACCGACCGCCCGCTTCTATCTCCTTCCCAAAATCCACAAACCTGACTGCCCTGGTCGACCCATTGTCTCCGCCTGCTCCTGCCACACAGAACTTATCTCCACCTATCTCGACTCCATTTTTTCCCCCTTGGTCCAGGAACTCCCTACCTACGTCCGTGATACCACCTACGCCCTCGACCTCCTCCAGAACTTCCAATTCCCCGGTCCTCAACACCTCCTCTTTACCATGGACGTCCAGTCCCTCTACACCTGCATTCCCCATACAGATGGCCTAAAGACCCTCCGCTTCTTCCTATCCCGCAGGCCCGACCAGTCCCCCTCCACTGACACCCTCATCCGCTTAGCCGAACTTGTCCTCACCCTCAACAACTTCTCCTTCAATTTCTCCCACTTCCTACAGACAAAGGAGGTGGCCTGGGTACCCGCATGGGCCCAAGCTATGCATGCCTCTTTGTAGGATACGTGGAACAATCCCTCTTCCATAGCTACACTGGCCCTAACCCCACCTCTTCCTCCGTTACATTGATGACTGTATCGGCGCCGCCTCATGCTCCCACGAGGAGCTCAAACAGTTCATCCACTTCACCAACACCTTCCACCCCAACCTTAAGTTCACCTGGACCATCTCTGATACCTCTCTTTCCTTCCTGGACCTCTCTGTTTCCATCTCTGGCAACCACCTAGAAACCAATATCCATTTCAAGCCCACTGACTCCCACAGCTACCTAGAATACACCTCCTCCCACCCACCTTCCTGCAAAAATGCCACCCCCATTCCCAATTCCTTCACCTCCGCCGTATCTGCTCCCAGGACGAGGCATTCCACTCCCGTACATCTCAGATGTCCTCGTTTTTCAAGGACCGCAACATCCCCCCATCAGTGGTCGAGAACGCCCCCGACCGTGTCTCCCACATTTCCCACAACTCATCCCTCACACCCCGTCCACGCAATAATAACCAAAACAGAATCCCCCTCGTCCTCACGTACCACCCCACCAACCTCCGGATCCAACGCATCATCCTCTGACAATTCCGCCATCTGCAATCCGACCCCACCAAAGACATTTTTCCCTCCCCACCCTTATCTGCTTTCCGGAGGGACCACTCTCTCCGAGACTCCCTTGTCCGCTCCACACTCCCCTCCAGCCCCACCACACCTGGCACTTTTCCCTGCAACCGCAGGAAGTGCTACACCTGCCCCGACACCTTCCCCCTCACCCTCATCCCAGTCCCCAAGAAGACTTTCCACATCAAGCAGATGTTCACCTGCACATCTGATAATGTGGTATATTGCATCCGCTGTTCCCGTTGTGGCCTCCTTTACATCGGGGAAACCAAGCGGAGGCTTGGGGAATCCGAGACAACAAGGTGCAGGGCTGGATGAACACAGCAGGCCAAGCAGCATCATAGGAGCAGAGAGGCTGACGTTTCGGGCCTAGACCCTTGGGGACTGCTTTGCAGAACACCTGTGCTCGGTTCGCACTAAACAACTGCACCTCCCAGTCGCGAACCATTTCAACTCCCCCTCCCATTCTTCAGACGACATGTCCATCCTGGGCCTCCTGCAGTGCCACAACGATGCCACCCGAAGGTTGCAGGAACAGCAATCATATTCCGCTTGGGAACCCTGCAGCCCAATGGTATCAATGTGGACTTCACAAGCTTCAAAATCTCCCCTCCCCTAACCGCATCCCTAAACCAGCCCAGCTCGTTCCCGCCTCCCTAACCTGTCCTTCCACCCACCTATCCCCTCCTCCCACCTCAAGCCCCACCCCCATCTCCTACCTACTAACCTCATCCCGCCCCCTTGACCTGTCCGTCTTCCCTGGACTGACCTATCTCCTCCCTAACTCCCCACCTACACTCACCTTTACTGGCTCCATCCTTGCCTCTTTGACCTGTCTGTCTCCTCTCCCCCTATCTTCTCCTCTATCCATCTTCTATCTGCCTCCCCATCTCACCCTATTTATTTCAGAACCCCCTTCCCCTCCCCCATTTCTGAAGAAGGGTCTCGGCCCGAAACGTCAGCCTTCCTGCTCCTCTGATGCTGCTTGGCCTGCTGTGTTCATCCAGCTCTACACCTTGTTATCTTGGATAAACTTCGGTTGTTTTCTTCAGAGAGCAAGAAGCTGAGGAATGACCTGATCGAAGTATATAAAATTATGAGGCATGGATAGGATGGATAGATGGAGTCTTTTTCCCAGGATGGAAATGTCAAATACTCAGAGGCATAGGTGAAAAGGAGAAAGTTGAAAGGAGATGTGTGATGCAAGTTTTTTACACTGTGCTGTATTGTTCAATGTTCTATGCAAAATATACATTGGATTTTCTTCCAGCATTGTTGGATAATTCAGTAAAAGGTACATTCTTTTTCATGTCGCAGTTTTAGAATTAAAATAGCATATGGATGAACTATAGTTTCAGAATTTTCTATGTTACTTCAAGTTAATTTTTAAAGTCTGGCACTCTTGGTACCAAGACTGTACTGGATTTCAGATTTTCCTAGACATCTGGGAATGTGGGATTACGGGTAGTTTGAATTAAAACAGTATACTGGCATGCCACTGTAAATAATTGTAGTAGCCACTATCTAGAGTGGCATACTATTAAGAAATAGCGCCAAGTTGAATTGGCCCAGTATTTGGTCAATAAGTCCAGATTTAATTTGACTGGAATGGAGTATGTTCAAAACTGTGCAGCTTTTGTATAGTCAGATTTTGGGAAATGAATTTATATTCCAAGAAATGGGTAAAATATTGCATTTCCTAAACTATAACTTATTTATTAGCATTAATTTAAATTGCAGGCTGTGCTAGCCTTAGCTGCTTCCTGGACATCAAGGCAGATTGGAGAACGCACACTAACAGGCATAGTGATAGACAGTGGAGATGGAGTAACCCATTGTATTCCAGTGGTGAGTATAACGTTTGAATCTAAATAATTACCGTGCCTGCTGCAGGAGAAATGAACATTTTGGTTCAGTTAGGTATTTAAACTGAACGTGATAGTTGATGAAACTGGTAATTAATACAACTGACAACCTGAGCAAGATTTACCAGCAAACATCCTTTGCGTGAAACAGTAGTGAACACGGGAAGTCACTGACAAGTTCCTTGTGGCAAACTCCATTCATTGAGTAGCAGGCATTGAACTACTGTGGCTTGAGTGATCCGTTCTCAGCCAAGCTCCACCATGGTACCTCAATACAACCCTTTTCTGCACTTGTGGAGAGACATGCACAATGCTGCATGTTACTGAGGGAGTATCGTTTCTGGGACTAAAACTCAGTAAATGAGGCTATTGCTTACCTTTGGGGGTTTACTTTTGCAAAAAAAAAGTGATAATTGAAATGTTCAAGGACTAAACTTTGGTTTTAAAATCCAATGACAATGCAGCAAATTGTGGGCAGATCCATGCCCTTGAGTGGCTTGGCAAGAAAGTTGAGAAAGTATAGCGAAAATGATAAAATTAGAATCTTGATGTGGTGAAAAAGATTTCTGATGATTTTCCCTTTAAGGTTTAAACAGCAAGATCAGCATCTTGCTAATGAGCAGCGACTGCTTTATTCCCCTGCATCTGCATCTAATTATTAGCCCAATTTTTCTCGTTTCAGGTGTTCAGGACTCATTTTGGGGTCATACCTGGCACATAGGAAGATGGTTGTGGTTGTTGGAGGTTAGTCATCTCAACTCCAGGATATCTCTGCAGGAGTTCCTCAGGGTAGTGACCTGGGCCCAACCATCTTCAGCTGCTTCATCAATGACTTTCCCTTCATCATAAGGTCAGAAGTAGGGATTTTTGTCGATGATTGCACAATGTTCAGCACCATTGAGCACTCCATGTCCAAATGGAGCAAGGCCTGGACAATATCTAGCTAGAGCTGAAAAGTGGCAAGTTACATTTGCGCCACGCAAATGGCAGGATTGATCATCTCCAATAAGAGATTATCTGATACTGCTCCTTGACATTCAATGGTATTCTCATCTCTGAATCCCCAATTATCAACATGCTCGGGGGTTACCATTGACCAAAAATTCAACTGGATTTGCCATATAAATACAGTGGCTACAAGAGTAGATCAGAGGTGAGAAATACTGCAGTGAGTAACTCACCTCCTGACATCCCAAAGCCTGTCCACCACAAGTCTGAAGTGTGATGGAATACTCTCCACTTGCCTGGATAAATGCAGCTCCAACGACACTCAATAAGCTTGACATCTTCCAGGACAAAGCAGCCTGCTCGATTGGCACAACATCCACAAGCATTCACTCCCTCCTCCACTGACAGTACACCCTGCTGCAACTGGCCATCTACAAAATGCACTGCAGAATTTCACCAAAGATCCTTATATAGCACCTTCCAAACCCACAATCACTTCCATCTAGAAGGACAAGGCCGGCAAATACAGGGAATACCACCATCTGCAATTTCTCCTGCCAGCCTTTTACCATCTTGCCTTGGAAATATATCAATGTTCCTTCTCTGCCCTGGGTCAAAATCATGGAATTCCCTCCCTAACAGCATTGTGGGTTTAGCGCATAGCAAGAGGCAGCATATTTTCATAGTTTGGAATAGTGGACAGTCAAGGGTATGGACATGTTGCTGTATGGTACAATAAAAACCAAAAGAACTGCAGATGCTGTAAAACAGGAACAAAAACAAAGTTGCTGGAAAAACTCAGCAGGTCTGGCAGCATCTGTGAAGGAAAAAGTAGCTAATGTTTCGGGTCTGGTGACCCTTCCTCAGAACTGATAGTGGCTGGGAAAACGTCAGTTTATATGCAGAAAATAGGGAGGTGGGTGGGCTAAACGATATGATAGAGCCCAAAGAGAGAGAAAGACAGTTGGACAGACAAAGGAATTGCTAACGATCAGGCTGGGAGGATGAATAGTTGTTAATGGGGACTATTAGTGACTAACAACAGCGGGTGTGTATTGGCAGGCTATGTGGTAACAAGGCCTGGCATGTGGGGTAGGGGGCTGGGACAAGGAAAAGTTTAGGCCCTAAAATTATTGAACTCAATATTGCGTTCGGAGGGCTGTAGGGTCCCCAAGCGGAAAATGAGGTGTTGTTCCTCCAGCTTGCGTTGGGCTTCTCTGGAACACTGCAGCAAGCCTGAGACAGAGATAGTAGGAACTGCAGATGCTGGAGAATCCGTGACAACAAGGTGCAGAGCTGGATGAACACAGCAGGCCAAGCAGCATCATAGGAGCAGGAAGGCTGACGTTTCGGGCCTAGACCCTTCATCAGAAGGGTCT